TTTGTTCACCCTGCCTCCCGTGTGCACTGCAGTTCAGCCTCCAGTGGTGGGCTGGGGTAGGGATCATGGCACAGCCGTGTACAAACCCAGCACCACAGTCTGGGGCCTGGGGCTGCCACTTTAGGTGAGGTGGTAAGCTATGGATAACTACTCCCAACCACAAAGCCCTCCCCACAGTTGGTGTCTTGTTTCACCCGGAATGGAAAAATGTCTGAGGGAGGAACTTTGGAATTAGAAGATTCCAAGAAGGAAACAGCGTTGGGAAGATGGTTGTCTCTATGAAGATGGGAAGGGCTTCCATTGGTGGCAACAGCTGTCAATCTCTCCTTCAGGCCAGGTGGAAGGACTGGGGTTGTTCCCCACAGTCACAGTGGCATGCATGCTTAAACATTGTGGAAGAGCTGGACGGACAGACACCTCCAAAAGGGAGCTTTGCCAGAGAGGTCCCCATTGTGGTCAATAGAGGGCGATATTGTGTTGATTGTGAGGGATGTAGTGGCGCCTCAGGGTACCGAATTCCAAAAAGGCAGCTCCTCTCAGCAGAATAGGGGGAGAGCCCTTGCCATGCTTGTCTGATTTGAGACTGAGTTAGGGAATGTGGCCAACAATGAATACTCGCCACCCTGCTCCTGGGAACCTGTAGGATCCTCATACAGAGGATTTGGGGGCCTCTGACAGCTTCTTAGGAGCCCTGGTGGCATAGTGGTGTCACTTTGGGCTTCCATCCACACGGTCAGCAGTTAGAAATCATCTGCTACTCCCAAGTAGAAAGATGGGGCTTTCTACTTCCATCAAGAGTGACACTCTCTAAAATCCACAGGGGCAGTTCTACCCTGTCCTATAGGGTCACCATGTGAATGAATGAGTGACAGAAGACTCATAGGACACCCTGGATGCACTGTTAAGCATTGAGCTGCTAACCACACAAGGTAGGTGGTTCAAACCCACCACCCGCTCTACTGGAGAAAGATGAGGCTGTGTACTCCTGTAATGATTTAGAGCAGGCCTCCTCAAACTACAGCCCACAGGCCACATGCGGGCCCGCCGAGGACATTTATCCAGACCGCCAGGTGTTTTTGCCCCGTTTATTTTTTTACTTCAAAATATGTGCACTGTGCACAGGAATTTGTTCACATTTTTTTTAAAAAAACTATATTCTGGCCCTCCAACGGGTCTGAGGGACAGTGAACTGGCCCCCTGTTTAAAAAGTTTGAGGACCCCTGATGTAGAGCTTCAGAAACCCCAAGAAGCAGTTCTACAGGGTGGCTAGATGGCAGAATGGAGTTTATCGGATTCTTGTCTTTGGCCCGGGCCTCTCCATTTTCTGCTGTTCCCTATTTACGTAAAATAAAAGTAAAATGTTTTCCTGTTTTCCCATAACTCCAGTATGCATACTGGCATACAAAAGTGAGGTGTGTTTTACAGAAGTTAATATTGGGGGGGGGGGCGTTTAATGCACCTGTCTTCACTACCCAGAAAAAATGGAACCACATCCTAAACCATCATAACCATCTTAGCGACCACCTAGTCTGGTCACCATCTGAGGCCCAGAGAGGGGCAGACAAACTCCCACTGGACAGAATGCCGGGCTTCTGACCCCAAGGCTTCGCTCCACCCCAGCCCCTGGCCCTCTAGCTACACAGAAAGCAGTTTTTCAGATCTAGCCGCTCCCACCTCGCTGCTCGGTGACCACGCCCTTTCTAGTCTTCAAGGTCCATGGCTTCCATTTTGCCTCCCACCCCTAGACCCAGCTGGAGCAACAGCTGGCTGGCCCCCTCTTGCGTCCCCTGGGCGTGATGCAGATTGCCCCAAACGGGATAATTGACCGAGTGTGCAAATTAGACACAGATCCATTGCATCGATTAACATTTCCAATTAAACTCCTGGGTTAGGCTGTGTATCAGCGATTTGAGTCATCAACGGGTATGTAAATGCAAATCACTTCCAAAGCAGCAAAGCCAGTGGGAAGTGCCTTATGATGGGGTGGAAATAGCAGCGCTCCTACCAAACCTAGGGGCTCATCTGCTTCTCTGGGGTGCCTAAATTGGGTTATGACTCTTTGGCTATTACTGGATCCAGTTCCCAAAGCGCAGCCCTCACACCCGAAATGGACTCTGGCCCTGCAGGACAGCGCTATGGGTCCTTTCTCGCCCCCTGTTGGTGAAGCATATGTGTTGCTGAGTTGGTAGGTGGGTCCATCCACCCAGGGTCCACAGAGAACTGCATAGTCCTTAGCTGGTGCAGAAGCTGGGGGCAACTGGCCAACTGAAGCTTAAGCCGCACCTAAGATGCCTGGAGAACCACACTTATCTTCCAGAGTAGTGGTGCCTACACCACGGCCACTCACAAAGGGTTCCTATTCCCCATTAGTGGCATTACTGGGGTTGGTGTCACCTAGTAAGGTAACAGGTGCATTGGTTTCATAGTGGTTATGCACTGGACTGTGATCTGCAGGGTGGGCAACTCAAAACCACAGCAGCTCTATGGGGCAGAGACAGGGTTTTCGACTCCTGTAAAGAGTTAGTCATGGGAACTTATAGGGGCAGTTCTACTCTGTCCTATTCAGTCACTATGAGAGTATGAGTCGGCATTGACTGGATGGCAGCGTGTTTGGTTTGTCTGTCCTTCTGTTTGGTTTTTGGAGTCAGATCACTCATGGTGACACAATCTCCATCACCTACGGAGTGCTTGCCAATGTTTAGTACCCATTTCACTCACCAAATACTATGTGAGAAAGAGTTAGAAGTTACTTCAACATCATAGTTCTTAGATCATAAGAATGCTAACAGACCAATTGTTGGGCAGAATCTTCCTGTATTGTGTTAACATGATTAGTTAGAACATAATTAATAGCTGAGTGGAAACCTTTTCTCACTCTCTCTCTTGTTATATCTCCTTCTTTTCTTTTAATTACTACTTCATTTGCAAGAAAAAAAAAAGGTTCGCAAATACTATTACCACAATATTGCAGCTGAAACACCAGAAAATTGGGCATCTTCAGTGATTAGGGGAGGGAAAGAAATCCCAGCAGCAAGGAAAACAATAGGGTATGCTTGTATTGCTAGAGGGGGGAAAAACACGATAGGAAGCACCACTGTAATTGGATTATGACAACTCTGCTCCAGAATGGTAGAAGGCTCAAAATGCAAATTAGCAGAGAGTTGAAGGATTCCTGGTGGCATAGTGGGGCACGATAACCACAAGGTTAGTGGTTCAAACCTGGCCGCTCCTAAGAAGACAGGCGAGGTTGCCTGCTACAGTAAAGATTGACATTTAATCTCAGAAACCTACAGGGGCCCTATAGGGTTACTATGTGTCAGAGTCGACTTGAGGGCACTGAATTGTTATAGCTGGGTTTCTGAAGGAAAAAAAAAGGTTTTTGTTCTAATAAATTGCAGGGATATTTTTTATAAAAAGAAAAAAGAAAAATTTTCTGGTGAAACACTGCATTATAAAAAACCTTACAGAGAGTGCATGTGGTATTATCCCTTTTGACTCTGTCATCTGGTGCCAGCCGCACCCCCTGTACCTGCCCCCTAGTGACGCCTCTGCTCCCCACAGGCCTGAGAAGGACTGTATTTATTTAACAAAGGCAGACACAACCACACCGTGATGGGAATGGAGGCTCCAGACATGACCCTAGCCACATCCCTGGTGAAAGACAACCTACCTGTCTTGGCCAGATTTGATGCCGCCGGGCCCCCCCAACCCCGACCCAACTCCTTTGGGGTCCCAACCCCTTGCCCTTTTCTTACCCTGAAGGGAAGAAGCAAGGCAGCTGTTCAGGCTTCTGCTCCCCGAGTTTCTTCTCTTTCCCTGAGCCAAAATCTCCTGGCTCCTGAAGGTGGGTTACAGCGGTGGGAATACTATTGACTACCTAAATATTAAGGAACTCTCCTGTTTCTGGGATGAGCAGCAGCTGCCTCAGCCAAAGAGATTTTTCCGCCTCACCAGGGCAGTCAGGGCCTCTAGGCACCGTCCTTGATGACTTATTCCACGCCCCTGTCTTCTTTTCCCAGCTTTTTAGCTTTCTGTTTGCCCCTGTCTATGCTTGATCATACCTGCTCCCTGTAACTTTCTGATCTGATTTATTTTCCACCTTAGTCCCACCTCTCCCTTTGACCTCCTCTGACCTCATAATTGTCTGTGATGATGACAATGGTTGGGCTGCTCAGGCTGATGGTCCACCAGTCCCTGAGGGAGAGAAAGATGAGGCTGTCTGCTCCCAGAAAGATTTACAGTCCTCTCAATCTGATCTAATTCTAATGAATTAGAATCGATTCGACGCTATGCCATCTAATCTCACTTCATCTGATTCTGAAATCTGATTTTATTTTATAACCTTGGCCACTCTCTTTGACCTCACAGTAATCCAGTCTCTGACATTGGAAGTCCTTGCCCTCACAATAGTCATTGATGGCAGGTTCCCCATCTCTACAATCAGACTTCATTTCCCTAACTTAAGGTCAAACTCACTGCTTCAGGGCAAAGACTTAAGGATTTTTGATTTTGGGTTTTTTTTTTGTTTTTTGTTTGCTTGATACCAGGGGAAAAAAGGCAACCTGTGGGACGGCTTTCAACAAGACACCCTCTCTCCACCTCGCTGCCTGCACCCCCATCACACCCCCTGTGAACCCTTTCAATCTGTTCAGTCTCTCCTACAAGGTCCATTTGGCCTTCTAGGGGCTTGAAGGTTCTGCTTCTCGGCATCCCAAGGGCCTTCTGGCTTCAGGATGTACCGGCTGTCTGCTTTTACCCAGACCACTTCCCAATCTCTTCTCATTTTGCGTCTTTTATGGAGGGAGATGAGCCTTTTTTTTTTTTCTCCAGAAGGGAAAGGGGTTATATGGCCCTTTCTTCACACCTGGGTCTATTCATCAACCATTACCATATTAAGCCCTTTTTACCCCATGGTGCTCCGGGCTGGGGTACCTCCAGGACCCAATCACAGATCCTTCCCAATAACAATTTTGCAAATGGCCTGGTGAGAACACACTGACCTTTATACCTCGGTCATCTCAGAGCAGGGCCACAATGTTGTCACCAACAGGAATGGACCTCCTTCCGTTCCAACACCTCAGACAGCCACACGGTTGGCCTGGACTTGAGTCTGCAAAACCACGGGGGAGCAAGGCTAACATGGCTAAGGGCTTCCCTGGGCCAGCCATTGGAATAAATCTGCTCTCTGTCAATATAGCACTGCCACCGCCCCCTGCCGGCTCCCCAAAGCCAAGCCATTCACCCTTTTCCTCGCCTTTGCTTCCACAGACCATAGCCCAGAAACCTTAGGTCCAGAGACTGACACTGGCTTCTGGAAGGTGGGACCAGAGAAACAAGCCAGGGCCTCTGCCTACCTCCCAGACTCCCTCCTGGTGGGAACCGCCCCGGCACATTCCGCCCCACCCCACACCACCACCTAAGACAGGAAAGGGGGAGAGAGCTCAAGAATCAGGAAACCTTTGATCTGCCCCCCAAAGTGCGACAGGACTCTTGATAGAACCAGTGCAAAAGGAAGGCAATACCGCAGGGAGGTGAGGGGAACAGAGAAGGGCAGGGGGGAGAGACCTAAAGACCCCACTCCCCAGACAAAGACAAAGGCCAAGTGAGGGGCCCCAGGCTTATTCCATCACTACATCCCCACCAGAGAAGAAAAGGGTCCCCCCTCCGTGCCTTTACCCGATCTCTACCAAAGAAGAGGGTAGATGATAAAGGCAAAAAAGGAAGGGGGGGGGCTTCCCATTAAAGAAAAGGGGTCACTTTTTCTGTTGCTCAGGTCGGGTTATAACATCCCTAACGGGGCTCCGCCAGCGGCCACACCCCCTTACCCTCTAGGGGGCTGTCGCCCCGGCAGCTGCGGGGGCGAGGGAGGTGGGTGTCTAAGACTTAACAGGCTGACGTCGCCTTCCCAGCGGATTTTGCCTCAAGAGGCCCTGGCCTCCATCAGGGATTCGAGGGCTTCCAGATCCCAGGAAGGGGTCCGGGCCGTGGGGACCGGCGCGGACACACCCACTTGTCCGCGCCAGCGAACCAGGATCCGGCTAACTGCGCGCTCGGGCTCAGGGCTTCAGAGGAGCCAACGCCGGCAGGGAAATCCGCGGCTGGGGCACCGCGGGAACCGCAGCGCTACTGCCCAGCCACCGCCAGGCAGCGGCCGGCCGCCTCCACCCCACCGGACTCATCGCGGGATTTACCTGCCACAGGTCCGGCTAACCGGTCCAGACCTCTCTGCTCCCTCCGGCTGCCCGGCTGGGAGCTGCAGCCCAGCGGCCGCGGCCGCAGCCTGGGGCTCAGCCGGCGCCTCACCCGACTCCTTCCCTGCCAGGCACCCTCGGTCCAGGCCCGGAAAAGCCAAACCACCGGCGTGAGATCGCAGACAGTCTGCTCCTGACAGCTGCCCGACCGCGACCGAGCCCCTGCTAGGCAACCGCTCCCTAGCCCAGCTCCGCTATGACGTCACCGGGCTCTGCACCGTACGGTGGCCAATCAGATGAGGAGCAGAAAACTAAAATCGCCCTGAGTGGGCTACTGGGGACCAATCTTTTGTTTCTAGGCAAGAAGCGCCAGGGAGGGGTGGGGGGAGGTTCTGGAGGGGTGGGAGCAAGGAGAGAAAACGGGAAAGGGGACGGAAACTTCTATACCGCTAGGGTTGTCTAGACAGAGGTGGGGCCCATAAGAAAAGGAGCCACCTGTCAGGAAAGGGGAGGATTTCATGTATCTTCCGAACTGCCTCCCTCCCTCAGGAAGACGAGGATTTCAGATGAGTTTCCAGTGGCAGGGGAGATTTGTCCAGCTCTATGGGAGCACTCTTGTCTGGGGAAAAATATTTTTGATTTGGGATACCGCCTATCAGGCAGGTTACACCAGGGAAGTCTCCTGAATACATAAAATGCTCTCGAGATGTGAATGAGACGATTGAGACTCAAACCGATGCCAATCTCAGCAGGGAAACTATGTTTCTGTTTTTGAAACATGCATTCCAAAGCACAATGCTCCGTGCAAAGGGTAATGTAAACTGTAAAAAAAAAAGTATATACGTGCACACACACACACACACACAGATTTCAAAAAATTCATGGAAAATGGAATGAATGTATAATGGGATTTCCCAACAAACTTTTGGAAGACACACACACACACACACACACACACACAAATACACAGACCTGTGTGTACATATATATATAATATAATTTTCTGTCTTGAGCATAAATTTCAACTCTTTTCAGGTGTTGAAAAAAACAAACAAACCTCACTACCATCGCATGGATGCAGACCCACAGGGATCCTCCAGGCCAGGGTAGAACTGCCGATGTGAATTTCAGAGAGTCTAGCTCTTCACGGGAAGAGAAAGCCTCATCGTTTGACAGGCAGAGTGGCTGGTGGTTTGGGACTGTTGACTTTCTGGATTGCAGCCCAAGCCTTCCTAAAGCCAAAAAATCATCTCTTGGTACTCTAAACTCCATACCACAGAATTCTGCTAGATTACACAAACTACGGTCAAGTCCAGCAAGGAGATAGTAAACTGCCATCAACGTGACAAGGGATATCAAGAAATAAACAAAGCCACTGGAATGCTCATGATGTAGCACATGCCTGCAGAAAAAGATCAGAAACTAACCAAAGCAGTAACGATCATAAAGTACTAGGGTTATGAGTGGGTGGGTTTTTCTCCACACTTGCAAATGGAAGTATTTTATAAAGACGAATACATCTTCTCATATTAAAATGGTCAAAAGGAGGCTTGACCTTCCCCAGGGCACTTATGTCCAATTGTTTCATTCTCCATATGGTCAACAAGATGGTCATCTGCTCTGTCTCCCGAAGCCCTCTAAGAAAAAGCACGGAACAGATCTCCACGTTCACGAGAATTCTCAGGCAGTTGAAGAATAGAATGCCTCTTTTGAAAACATACATTTTTAATTGTAATGATATTGGACAGTGAAAAAAGAGCAATTATGGGAGGGAGGAAAGGAGATGATACCAAGGGCTCTATAGAAACTAAATGTCTAGAAAAGAATGAAGGCAACATATGTACAGATCCGCCTGATGCAAGCGATGTATGGATTGTGACAACAGTTGTAAGAGTCCCCAATAAAATGATCTTTTAATAAAAGAAAAGAGCAATTATAACCCGTACAATCCATGACAAAACAGGAAGAGGAAGGTGATGATTAAATAAACTGCAAAATCCAGACAGTAATTTCTGAAGGATCACTTTTCATTTTATTTTCCTTAATGAAAATGATTCTTTACACGTAACAGGTATTATGTGAGCCTTGTAGGAAGTGGGGACCCGAAATTGTATCTAGATATGTCTGAGTTCAAGTCCCATGCTTTTCCAAATAGGATACTAGGTATGTCTGTGGCATAGTGGTTGCTTGTTGGGCTGCTAACCTCAAGGAATGCTGCTTGAAGCCACCAGGCACTTCAAGGAAGAAAGATGAGGTTTGCCACTCCCGCAAACAATTATAGTCTTGGCAACCTACAGGGGTAGTTCGACACTGCCCTATGGGGGTCTCTCTGAGTCAAAATGGACTTCATGGCAGTGAGTTTGGTTTGGTTTTTGTTTTTAACAACCCTACCCACCCCCCAAAAAATGAAACAACTAAACCCAAAACCAAACTCACTGCCATGGAGTCAGTGCTGACACGCAGCAAGCCTCGTGTGGGTTTACAAAACGAACTGTTTACACAAAGAGAAAACCCAGTCTTTCTTTCTCTGGGGGTGCATACAGCTCTTATCACAATCCATACATTCATTGTGTCATGCACATTTGTACATTTATTGCCATCATCATTTTCAAAACATTTGCTTTCTACTTTAGCCCTTGGTATCAGTTTTTCCCCTCTCGCTCCCTCCCCACTTCCCCCTCCTCATGGACCCTTGATAATTTATAAATTATTATATTTAATGTTTTACACTGAACGATGTCTCCCTTCACTCACTTTTCTGTTGTTCATCCACCATGGAGGGGGTTATATGTAGATCATTGTAATTGGTTCCCCCTTTCGCCCCCCACTTCCCCTTCCCCTCCTGGTATCGCTACTCTAAATATTGGTCCTGAGGGGTTTATCAGTCCTGGATTCCCTGTGTTAGAAGCTCTTATCTGTACCCATGTACATGTTCTGTTCTAGCCAGATTTGTAAGGTAGAAATGAGATCATGCTAGTAGGGGGAAGGAAGCATTAAAGAACTAGAGGAAAGTTGTATGTTTCATCATTGCTTCACTGCACCCTGGCTGGCCTGTCTCCTTCCCGCGACCCTTCTGTAAGGGGATGTCCAATTGCCTAGAGACTGGCTTTGGGTCTCCACTCCACACTCCCCCCACCCCCACCCCATTCACAATGACATGATTTTTTGTTCTGGGTCTTTGATGCTTGATACCTAATCCCATCGACAACTCATGATCACACAGGCTGGTGTGCTCCTTCCATGTGGGCTTTGTTGCTTCTCAGCTAGATGGCTGCTTGTTTGTCTTCAAGCCTTTAAGATCCCAGACACTATATCTTTTGATAGCCGGGCACCATCAGCTTTCTTCACCACATTTGCTTATGCACCCATTTTTGTCTTCAGTGATCGTGTTGGGAAGGTGAACATATGGAATGCCAATTTAGTAGAAAAAAAGTGTTCTTGCATTGAGGAAGTACTTGAGTAGAGGCCCAATGTCTGTCTGCTACCTTGATATCGAACATATAAATATATGTACATAGATCGATTTCCCTATCATTATATATAAATACATTTATATATGTACATGCCTTTATTAAACCTCTATAAATGCCCTTTGCCTCCTAGTTCTTTCCTCTATTTCCTTTTACTTTCCTCATGTCCCACTATCATGCTCAGCCCTCATTTCGGGTTTCAGTAATTTCTCTGGGTTACACTGCCCTTGACCAAGCCCTACCAGACATCCTATGTCCCCCTCACCATGAATTTTTGATCACTTGTTGCTCCCTTTTCCCTGGGTTTGTTAACACTGACTTCCTTTCCCCTACCTTCCCCTCTTCTGTGTCCCCCTGAAAACATCAGTCCAATTATTTTCTCCCCTGGATTTTTATCCCACCTATCTTATCTAGATAGACATGCCGAGACAATAATAAGCACA